TGACAAAGATTCCGGAATCTACAGCTCAGAATCCAGAAAATAAGGTTGCCTTGGATTACCTTACAGGGGCAACAAACAGTTCATATTTTGATTGCTTTCGAATCTCAGAACGAACGGGTTGACCAAACGCAAACGTCGACCCATTTTATTTAATTTTCTGACTTGTTTCAAGGTACTCTTTGAAATTTTTGGCGGTAGTCGCGGCGTTAAGGGGGCCATGGAATAGTTTTTGCGTGGAACAGAAGGGATTATGGGGAAGTTTCAAAACGCAAAGGTCTATGGGAAGGCTCAACGTTTTTATTCACCGTTAAAGTTGACCATAAAACAGAGGGATATTAGATCTAGAATGGAAAAACACGTACCTGTCCTTTCAGCTTTGGGCAGGTACAGATGTAAGTATTACAAATTTTGGTTTTTAAGTCGTATTTTGATTTGTTACTTGACGTTTGCTAATACAATTAACTATTTTTTGAACAGTTCAAGACTTACTTGGTGTCTTAACAGATTCCGTTGTTGTTGTTGTTGTCACTTCTGTGGGTTTTGTTGTCGTGATTCCCTCAGTAGTTCCCATTGTGGTGTTTTCTTCAGTAGATTCTTCATCAGATACAAATTTGGTTAACAAATCAAATAAAGTATTTATGAGTTTAGTCAACTCTCTAGAAACGGGCACTTCTCTCTTAGGAAGAGAGTAATGCCTAGTCAAAGCAACACTTCCCATTTTTTCCGGGAACTAAACTCTCTAAAAGGGAGTCTTAGAGCTATACGTAACTGAGAAAGTGCCCACCTACCCCTCCCCTAAGCCAACATTTTGCCTAAGTGAGAAGTAGGTGTTGATGTTGGTTTAGGGGAGGGGTAAGTGGGCAGTTTCCCAGAAACGTATAACGATCCTCATCTTCTTTGCAAAACACAACCTTTATCGTTCTTCGGTAGATTCTTCACCTTTCCTATATATGTGAAAAGGTCTACCCCAAGCCTAGCTTGTTAAATAGACTCTCTTCTAGTTCTACGGAGAGATGTCGTTCTGAACTTTCTATCATGCACCCGCACTAATAATGTCACTAACCTTGAAAGGTCCGTGTACAGTTGAACCTCTCTAAAATGGCCACCTTGGAGACAGAAGAAAGTGGCCGTTGTAAAGAGGTCGAAACAAGAGTCAATGTATGGATTTTTTGTCCGCGGGGACGCAAAAAAGGTGTCCGTTGTAGAGAGGTGGCCGTTAGCGGAGGTTCGACTGTACAGTCAACTAACCCATTTTTACGAACACCCACTCAATAGAGACACCTCATTGTTACACGCAGTTTGCTTTGTTCCTAGGGAAAGAAAGCCCTTACATTTTCTCTCAATTCAACCTGCTTAATACGGACACCTCATTATTACGAACAGTTTGCTTTGTCCCTGGGGAAAGAAAGCCCTTACATTTTCTCTAAATTCAACCCGCTTAATATGGACACCTCATTGTTACACACAGTTTGCTTTGTTCCTGGGGAAAGAAAGTCCTTACATTTTCTCTAAATTCAACCCGCTTAATACGGACACCTCATTATTACGAACAGTTTGCTTTGTCCCTGGGGAAAGAAAGTCCTTACATTTTCTCTAAACTCAACCCGCTTAATACGGACACCTCATTATTACGAACAGTTTGCTTTGTCCCTGGGGAAAGAAAGTCCTTACTTTTTCTCTAAATTCGACCCACTTAATAAGGACACCTCATTATTACCGACAGTTTGCTTTATCCCTGGGGAAAGAAAGCTCTTACATTTTCTCTAAATTCGACCCACTTAATAAGGACACCTCATTATTACGGACAGTTTGCTTTATCCCTGGGGAAAGAAAGCCCTTACATTTTCTCTATATTCAACCCGCTTAATACGGACACCCAGTTAATAAGGACACTTTGTATGGCCCCACATGAACGGGGTTTGACTGTACTTGTGTTGCTGTCATATTTTTCGTATGACTACGATGATGAGCTGCTGATGGTGATCGATGATGAAGATGACGGGCCCTTAGCAGAATATGGTCATATGGTACAAACAACACCTTGTTGAATGGCCCTGAAAGACGCAATGGAACCTTGAAAAGAAAGGATTTTAGTGTTTTGAATGATGTAATCTCTTTGTTTTTCTTGTCCTTCTGCTTCGTTTGCCATCCAGCAAGGTTTATTTGTACCATGTGATCGTATCGTGCAAAAGGGCTTAAGATTGGATTCATGACGATGGTGAAAATGATGATAAAAGATGACGATCATTGGTGTCAAAGATGATAGTAATGGCTGAAAGGTGCCCCTTATAATGAGAATTAAACAGGAACTCTTTTCCAGTTGATTTTTTTCTTTACCTTGTTTGCACGTTTTATTATCAGACAAAAGCCTCATTCCAGTTGGACACGCACAAGAATGGCCGTGAACATTCAACAAGCATAAATGACTGCATCCTCCGTTAGTGGTAGAGTTGCAGGGATTTTGACCTGCAAAAGAATATTCAATGACCAGGGATCATATTTTCCCCTTACACAATTTGGCACTGAAGTGTCAAAATAAATGTAAAGGCGAAATGCTTTTCCAAAGTGAGATCTATAGAAGTTTTGCTTTGAAGTTATATTCGACAGAGATCCACGTTAAACAAGATGCTCTTTAAGTCGAGCTTGCTGGGAGATTAGAGAAGAAATGAAGAGGCGATTAATTCGATACAAAACAGGATTTCCTCGCTAAAAGAGTTTCACGTCCTACTTTATCGACGGTCGAGTAAATTTATTATTTTTATATCGTGTTCGACCATTTGTTTCTGAATTGATTGAGTACACGTGTGAGTGGAGTACACGAAAATCAAGGGCCTCGATTCGAGAGAAATTACATCATTGCCAAAGGGCAAAAATGTGATGAACATGGCGCGTCATTTCAATCCGGCATCGCCGAAAATACACTGCATGCTCATCACAAGGCTCGTTTGCATAAAATGAAAGTTTACAACACCCCACCAGTTAGCCTCACCGTCGAAGTTTTGCTCATACAGATTGTTCTTTATTTCGACCACTAAAGTATTCGCTTGTTTCAAAGTAATCAACGCCTTCAAGCGATAGAAGTCGTGTACCGACCTGTTCCTGAAAAGTTTGACATTTTTCGCATTAATCTTTCCTCAGCTTTCTTCTCAAAACATGCATGGCGCTCTAAATATGTTGTCGGTCACGTCGCGATTCTTATCCCCAGTTTCCACGGTCTCCGCTGGGAACGACGGGGATCACGACTCCCCTTTTGCGATACATATATATGTAAAAAATAAACCCTTGTATTTTTAAAGTCTCTCTGCTAAGCAAGCTCCATTAGTTAGAGGTCGATATTTTAAGCGCTGAATATATACATGATAACATATTTGTCCTTAAAATCAAATGTAAGTGCTTGAAACTGCAAAGGAAAGACCCATTTTGTTAAAAACTTCGAGGAGCTCACCTGGCCTTGGTAACTGTGTAGTAGGATCAAAAACGCGAACGTCAAAGAGTTGCAACCCAGTGCTTTGCCACACCTTCTTACATTGCAGTTTTCCAGTGGTGTTATCCCGATCTGTAGAATGAATCCCTTTTGATGACCAGTCTGTCCAAAATAGTCTGTTCTCGTACAATGTGATACCAAAAAGATGCCCTAACGCACACTGATCTGGTGATCTGAATATCCTCTCGCGATTTGAGCCATCGTAGTTTGCCATTGCTATGTAACGAGGCACCTTTGCATTGGTCCAAAATAATTTCTGGTTGTTGAAGTCTAATGTCAACCCATTTGGCCATTGAATATTTCGTTGTATTATAACTCGACGATTTGAGCCGTCCATCTCTGCTCGCTCGACTTTCGGTTCTTTACCCCAGTCTGTCCAAAACATGTAACTGAAAGATAAAAGCAACAAATGATGAGAGACAAAAAAATTGTGACCCAATGAAAACCCGATAAAACATACCGTAAAATTTCGAAAATAAGCCCAGGGCTTATATTTTTCAAAGGCCCTTTTTGACGGGCTTACTTTTGGAGGGGCTTATATTCGGAGGGAAATTTGCGTTTCAAAATCGACTGGGGCTAGCTTATAGCTGGAAGCAAATTTACCGTTTTTGCTTTGTTTTACTTTGTATTTGAGGGCAATTTCCAAGTACAAGCCCCCCAGGGGCTTATATTTGGAGGGGCGATGTAACGGAGGGTTTTTTGGGTTACGAGTTTGGGGGGCTTATATTTAGAGGGGCTTGTACAAGGAGGGGCTTATTTTCGGAATTTTACGGTACCCCTTGTAACAAATGACAATCTTCACCCAAGTTACAGTAAAATTTTTATGGGTCAGGACGTCAATATCAAGAACCCCAGTCATATTTAAGGAAACTTTTCCCTTCGTTCTTTGCACTATGGGACTGACCAGGCAGAGGAACGCACAGAAGCAACTTTAACGCGACCTCGGGCAAAATCTTTCATATCGTACGTTATTAAAATTGCTGAGAAGTCTTTATTAAGCGTACATCTAGCTTGAGAAAACAGCTAACACCTCACGACGCCGCCACCGGTTTCTACGCGAAATGACTTCTGAGAAACTAACAGGCACAGAAATTCTATGCTGATGGCTTGTCACTTCCCAGATCTGGGGAGTGCTTCTGATTGGCTGAAGCAAATACAGTTTGCGACAGTATCTTCTTGCATTGTAATATCAATTGGCAATCTCGAAGTCAAACTCCTTGGTTAAAATCTTTATCTTGATTTACCCAGGCCAGTAATTCAAATATAAATAAGAGCCTGCTTGATTTTGCTTGGCTATTAAAAGTTCTTAGATTTTTGGGTATAAAGGTGCCGAATTTCTGCTAGCAGGTTCTTAGACCACAAGTTCTTATTACCGGGTGTTTACTGTATGTAATCATCTCATACCCTTTTTAATATTTAAATAAATTTACCCAGAAAGTGGATCAACAGCAATCGCTCTTGGCTTATCCAGCTCAGTCTGGATGAGAACTTTACGATAAGACCCATCCAAATTCGCAACTTCTATTCTCGATTTTCCTTCCTCAATATTTTCTGTCCAATACAATTTTCTTGCTACCCAATCTACAGCGATTCCTTCAGGCGCTATCAGACCCACTGCAATCACATCTTCGACCCTCTTAGCACCTCCTGTGATCTGAATTCGCTGGATCTTGTTCAAGACAGTATCCGTCCAAAATACTAGTCCTTTAGCATAATGAAAATCTACTGCAATGGCTCTCTTGAGACCTTCTAACACAGAGCTTTCGGTGCTGTTTTGAGTGTTAACAACTCTGATAGCATCTCCACGGCTGTATAAAAGAGGTGGAGCTAGGGAAAATAAGTAAAAGTAATTTTAGTAAAGTAAGGATCGGTATGGCTGGCCGTCTCTTCGTATAAGCAGATGTCTGTTAAAAAATTTTCTTGCCGGTGTTCAGCGGAAAGAATCCCAGGGAAGGCTTCAAAACGTACAAGCACGTCGGAAGCCTCAATGCGAAAAGCGAAGGTTAAGCAGCTTTTTATGCAAAGCGTTCGGAAGAGCAGGGAAATTGTAAGTTTGTGCCTGTATGTCGATGATGGTGAATAAATTGGTGGCAGAACTAGGGTAAGAGCGGCTGTAAACTACTTTAACTTTAGGCCTGACTGAATCCGGCACGGAAAATCTTTTTTGTGGCCGGATCCCCCTATTTTCTTTGTGATTTCCCGAATTTCGCACAGTTTTTTGATCAAGTCCCGGATCCTGAAAGTACTCTTCCAGACCCTCTTTATAGAGGAAAATACGTATATTTTGCTACCACAGCGCTTCAAAATTAGCATCAGAATTAGTGTTAACAAGTATTCGTAAACAATAAAGAAAAACCTACTAGTACTAGCGACTACACAGTCAGTCTCGTCCGATTTATCACCACAGTGGTCATAATCATCACAGACAAATAAACTGGGAATACAGCGTTTAGTTGTTCTGCACTGAAACCGGCTGCTTGAACAGGTCCCAGACTCTTTGCAGTCTTGTTCGTCTGAGCTGTCTGAACAGTCACTTTGGCCATCACAAACCCATGTGTCAGGGATACAATTTCCGGTTTTATTGCACGGAAACTGGCTGCTGCCACAGGTTGCAGAGTCTTTACAGTTTTGTTCGTCTGAGCCGTCTGTACAGTCAATATCGCCATCACAAACCCATTTGCCAGGAATACAATCTCCTGTTGTATTGCACTGAAACTGGCTGCTTCCACAGGTAGTAGCGTTGACGGTTTTACACCCCTTTTCGTCCGAGGTGTCTGTACAGTCACTATCGCCATCACAAACCCATTTGTGAGGGATGCATTTTCCTGATGCGTTGCATTGAAACTCGTCACAGGCTTGGGTCGTACAGTTTTGCTCGTCTGATCCGTCTCCACAATCGTTTTCGGCATCGCAAACCCAGACGCTTGGGATACAGCTTTTAGTTGATCTGCAGTCAAACTGGCTGCTTGTGCAGTTCGAAGAGTCTTTACAACCTTGTTCGTCCGAGCCGTCTGTACAGTCCCGTTCACCATCACAAACCCATCTATCAGGGATGCAGTTTCCCGTTTTATTGCACTGAAACTGGCTGCTGTCACAGGTAGAAGAGTCTTTACACCCTTGTTCGTCCGAGCTGTCTGAACAGTCACCTTCGCCATCGCAGACCCACGTATTAGAGATGCATTTTCCTGTTGCGTTGCATCGAAACTCATCATCTTTACAGGTATTTGTGGTGCAGTGTTGCTCGTCTGATCCGTCTGCACAATCGCGATCGAAATCGCAAACCCAGTTTTTTGGAATACACCTTTTGCTCCGTTTACATTGAAACTGTACTGGTAAGCATTGTTCTGAAGCTAAAAACAGGATAGTTAGCAAAGAGAATGAAAATCGTTTAAAAAAAGGCTTAGCTTATCCAGCTAATTCACAGATACCCCTCTCAAATACGTAGAAACAAATAATTCAAATACAACACAAAACAGGATTAAAAAACCAGTTGGCTATTTATAAGCGTGGCCGATGATCTGAACTCGGGACGACCGAGAACAAATCCTCCAAGTCGCCAGAGCGGGACTCGAACCCGGGACCGCCGGATTGCGAGTGCGACGCGCTCACCACCTAACTCACCACCCGGCCACGCTGTGAAGGAGGGTGGGGGGGGGGGGGTCTTGCCAATTTTTTTTTCGGCCCTTCGGACCTCAGTTTGGTCTAAAAATAAGGGGCGGACCCGGGCCTCCCCTGGATCCGCCACTGGACCGTTTTGAGGGAGGAATTTTACCCAGTTTCCCTCGCAACAGGGCCCCCAAACAGACCCACAATGCAATTCGACACGACGCCAACCCATTCTGCTCTCTCGCTCAGCTTCAAAATGACCAGTGCTGTCGACGATAAGAAACTGTGCAATAATTATCAAGAGAGGGGGGGAGGGGGGGTGGGTTTTTGCAAAGAAGGGGAAGGAGCAGAGTGTAAGTTGATACACCAAGACAGAGCTGTATTGTTCATTTATGTCCCTAAAATGGAAGCAAGAGGAATAAATTAGGTGAATAATCGATTCTGTGTGGTTTAACGATGCCGATTTGAAAGAAAAAAGTTTTGTAGATCAATTCTAGCGGTTTTCTGTTGCCTCTATGTAGGGTGAGACAGCAGAGCCGTTTACTGGTTCCGATCATCTCAGCTAACGCATGTAAATCTGCGTCCCTCCATCCATGCATATATCAAGGCAACACCTGACCGATCTTCATAAAAATCTAGAATTTTGTTTTTAGAAATTTCATCATTTGTCAGTTACATATAATAAATTACTTAGCAGCCTTACATGTAGTCGTCGCGGATTCTGTGGCTCTGGTTTCCTTTACAGGATTTGTTGTTGTCGCTTTAGTAGATTCTGATGCTGTAGTTGTAGGTGGTGGTGTTGTTGAAATAAAATTTTCACATCTCATTCCTGTATAATCGGATGTGCAGCTAAGAGATTAACAGGGAAAAATTTGTTAAAAGCATTCACAAGTGGTTTCCGTAAAAACAAGTTAGATGAAGGATTAAGCCCGTTCCAGGGTTATCCAGTGATGACTGATCAATTTACTTGTCTGTTTTTCTACCTTGTTGTCTGACCAGCTATTTCGCCATTTATGCAGTTAGTCCGTCAGTCAATCAGTCTGTTCAGTCCATCAGTCAGGGAGTTAGTCAGTCAGCCAGTGGGTAAGTCACCGGACAGACAGTCAGTCAGTCAGTCCGTCCGTCAGTCCATGCATTCATTCATTCATTCATTCATTCATTCGTTCATTCGTCCGTCCGTCAGTCCATGCATGCATGCATGCATGCATGCATGCATTCATTCATGCATTCATTCATTCATTCATTCATTCATTCATTCATTCATTCATTGATTCATTCATGTAGTCAGTCAGTCAGTATAGTCAGTCTGTCTGTCAGTCAGCCAACAAGGCCAGGTGGCCAGCGGGTCAGTCCATCAGTCAGTCAGTCCGTGCGCCAGTCAGTCAGTCAGTCAGTCAGCCAGCAAGGCCAGACAGCCACTAGCGGGTCAGTCAGTCAGTCAGTCAGTCATGCAGCCAGCAAGGCCAGCCAATCAGTGGGTCAGTTAGGCAGTCAGTAGATTCAGAGATTCGGAGGCCGACATCTCAACGTTATGGATTTTGTTTCAAACTGAAATATCGGTAAAAATTGAAACCATTTTTCTAGTCAACAGTTGATGAAGGCGAAGTAAATGCTAACAAACGCGATCTCGAGTGTAAATAAAATGATCACTACTTATGTCCATACCTACATAATGGAAGCTTAGTGTCCCTCTCAGTGCACGTTCCACCATTGCGGCAGGTATCGTTTTTACACAAGAAAATGTCTGCAAAAATACATCTCCTTTTTGAGAAAATGTCAGTACACCAATACTTAAGTTAAGTAGTCAGGCGAAACTTTGACAATACGATTAACTATTGTGAATTTAAAAACAACAGTATCATGCAGCATTTCTTAATTGTATGAAAAAGTAGAACATATAAATATCATTTGAGCGTCGATCGGAGATAAAAGGTAAAACGTACATGTACATATGAACCTTAAAGCCGATTTACACAGTATTAATTTGTTGTATATGATGTGCATATGATAAGCCTTCGACACGCGTTCTGTCCTGTACATTAGTTCTACAACGGACTTGCCATCGTCGTAGGTCTGATTTAACATGTTTTTAAAAATTTAGGTTATAGTTTTATTAACTAAGCACATTACAGGCGACAAAGCTGCACCATGTAAATCAGCTTTAAGCAGAGTTTTTTGACTCATTTTCTAATCGTGTTAAAATAAACTGTAAATAAATATACTGCAAGATGGGCTGCTCACAAGCTAAAACCACAAAAAAAAAAAAGAAAAAACACAAAAACGGCAAACAAAACAACTAGCGCGGCGTGTGTGCAGTAACCAGTCTCATTCCAAGAGCCTTTGCTACTCTTGTCTAGCAGAACGGCAGTGGTACTTAGTGCTGTCTCAAAGGACCACAGTCTCTGGTTGAAAAGTCTGATTTAGAGGAAATTAAAATAAACGAATATAGAAGTCGGGAGTTGGGGAGGAGATAGCCTGAGAAAAAAGCCGGTATGTCCTGACGCAACCACTGGTTTCCCCGTGAAATGCCGTCCGCTAAATCAGTATGGAATGGGTGGAGACGATTCTAAAGTACACCGGCGTACACTAGTTATTATCACCACCATATAGTCCACGGCTTACCGTGAATAGTTGACAGGTTCACAGCCCTTATTCCCCTAAGTGCTTGAATGCTATCAATGATTGTGTCTCTCTCGCCACCAGTTTCCTTGTTGCAACTCTGAATGACCCTTTGACTCCAGTCTGTCCAATACAAGCGGTCACCAAGCAACGTCAAGCTAAACACATGTGGCACATTCACATTTAGAACTATTCTACGGCCGCTGCCGTCCATGTTCATCGTCTCGATTTTGTCTAATTTGGCATCAGCCCAGAAGATTTTACCATTCTCGATATCAACCACAAGACCATTGGGCCACACAATGGATGAGTTCACCAGGGTCCTGCGATTGCTCCCGTCCAGTTCGGCTCGTTCGAGTTTTGGATTCGCTCCCCAATCTGACCAGAAAATGAAGCTGAAAAATGCGTGAAAAGAAATGGTTTTCAGTTACTCTTGAGTTGACTTTATCACACCGATAAGGTCCGATAACAACATACCGCCCTTCGTAATCATAGCAATCAACTGTCACTAAACTTTTCAAGAATGTTTGTTAAGAATATACTAACACCTACCCGCAGATGCGACACCTAAGAAAAAAATACGTTGTTTGCTCGCAAATAAAATTTTACGCGCCAATTGAACTATGCATTTGCCTAACTATATTAACCATTACGCGAAAAGAAGTTGGGGGCTTAATTGGTACGGAAGATGATGTTTTGAATTTTGAATCCGCCATGATGTGCACGAAATAACAAATAATGTCGTAGTCATGCCATCATCTGTTTCGTATTGCCTCTACGAACAGAGCTCAGTACACATTTCATTTTTGCTAATTTTGTTCTTTTGTTATTCTGCTGGGGAACTTGAAGCATGAAAAATACTTGAAAAAATTACGGGACGGAGGAAGTGTACTCCATTTGCTTGCCTGGGATTTAAATTTCCTAGAAATCCCTTCTTTATTTAATGTTCTAAATAATATATATGTTAGTTTGTCATATAAAATAACTGTTTTAAGGGCAAGATCTAAAAATATAAAAAGCTACGAAATAAAGCACTACAGCTAACCCACGAGTCGGATCCACTGCCAAAGCTCGTGGCTCGTCAAGGCCTTCGTTGATAAGAATTTTTCTTGAAGAGCCGTCTAGTCTAATGACTTCAATGTTATCGTTTTCCGAGTCTGTCCAATACAAACTTCGTGCCACCCAATCAATCGCGATGCCTTCGGGGCTCTTGATTCCATCATCCACCATAACCTTTATATCTTAGCGAAAAAAAGAAAAAGGTGAACATACTTTCACTGCGATGCGCTTCTCTAAATACATGTACTTGCAAGCGCTTCTCAACCCCAGTGTATGTTAATCCAGATTTCGGAATTTGGGAGATTCTTGCTTGTGTAATTTAGGATTCGGTAAACCCCGTCTGAAATTCAGGCTACATTTCAGGAGGTTTTGTAGAGTGGAATAATGATAGTTTCTTCAGCTGATTTTTCTACCTTGCAGGGCAAATTACTTGAGGAAAATATGACATCCAAGTTATGCCCTCAGCTAAAGGATGACAGTTTTGAGAGAGTTTAGTTTTCCATTGACGTTTTTCCTGATCATTAATGTCATGGTATCCTAAAGCCCGGTTTAGACGCCGAACTTTTCATGAGCCGAACCTAATTCGAATTAAGGCCGACCCAAATTATTTAGACCGACTGAATTGATACAGACGCCGATCTTTATTGCAGCTGAACTAAGTTCAAAAGGGGGAAAATGCTCATTTCGGTCAAACTGTTTACAAAATACGTTGTAATAATTTATGCATTAGGTTCGGTACATGAAAAGTTCTGCGTCTGAATCAAAGCCGTTCCAAAGTCGCTCCAAAGGCGAAATTCCCGGTCGGGCTAGGCGAAAAAAACGGCTGAGCCGTTCCAAATTGAAACAGGCGTTCCTAAGTGATTCAGACGCCGAACTTTTCATGAACTAAATTCAATGTATTAGGTTCGGCTCATGAAAAGTTCGGCATCTGAACCGGGCCTAACAACTTCTAATATTTGACAAAAACAACATACATACCCGTTCCATCCATTTTGGATCTCTTTATGACAGCTTTCTCACTCCAGTAAATAAATTTGTCGACAGGATCAAAATCAACGTCTACTAAACTTTCGAGGTCAGAAACTGGCAACACGACATCCGTGTGATCAGGAGTGTCGAGTGAAACGCGATGCAGAGCTTCTTTTCTCGCAAATATAAGGAAACTCTTTGGACCTGTTAAAAAAACGGTCATTGAGTGATAGAAAATTAATCTATTTGAGGCAGCGGGCAAATCTGCTTTTTGCTACAGACACCTCCCTTAAAATTAACATATACAAAGCGTCCCTGCCGTTTATTTTTAGTGATTTTTCTTGATTATTTATAAGGAAAACAGGGGTCTACCCTGCTTCAAAAGATAGGCTATTTGTGCCGAACACAAACGTGATTTTCTATGTATAGTTTGACTGGTTTTTAGTGGACAGCTAACTTCGAACGATCATTGAGTGATAGAAAATTAATCTATTCGAGTCAGCGGGCAAATCTGCTTTTTGCTACGGACAGCTCCCTTAAAATTAACATATACAAAGCGTCCCTGCCGTTTTTTTTTTAGTGATTTTTCTTGATTATTTATAAGGAAAACACGGGTCTGCCTTCCTTCAAAAGATAGACTCTTGCTGCCGAACCCAAAGGTGATTTTCTATGCATAGTTTGACTGGAATTTAGTGCACAGGTAACTTCATGGAGAAATGTTTTATTGTTTTGTCCAACACCGCGGGCAGGTCTTAAAAACGAGGGAGAGACTACACTGGAAAGGGTAAGTTAAGGAGAAGAGGATCCAGAACTCTTAAAGAGCATCTTTGTCCAAAAATTAGGGTTCTAAAAGGCAGATTTCATTGCGTCTGGTTCTTTGAAAATTCTGCACAATTTCAAAGTAAAGGGGGGAAGGGCGGCGGTCTCATCGAAATGTAAATCCTCTCTCAAAGTTATTACATTATTATTACAAATTGGCATCGATCGGACGCACTTAACTTCAGACGTTTCATTCGTCTGACGTTTAATGCGTCTGCCTTATTTCCTGTATTTATACCAGACGTCTAAGTAGTCTAAGACGTCTTAAACGTCCTCTGGTATAAATACGGCTAATGTTGATGGTGAGAATGGTGATGATTATATTTAATACTATGGTTAATGACGTTGCTGAAAATAACAATCAGTAATGATGATGATGATGAAGATGATGATGATGGATTAAAGGATCCAGCCTTCTATGATGATCACTGTTCCAGAAAAGGAAATGATGTTTATACCTTTCTCGCATGTTTTACCATCTGGTAAAAGCCTCACACCAGTTGGGCACGCACAAGAGTGGCCACGAACATTCAACAAGCATAAGTGACTGCAGCCTGCGTTAGTGGTAGAATCACAAGGATTTTGACCTGCAACGAGTAAACGGTTAGGGGATCATACTTGAGAAATACTACGAAGGAAAACAGCGAAAAATAAAATGGTTTTATTAAATGATTGTGGGCAAAGAACGCCAGATTTGAGTAAAAATATCAATACAACAGTTTCAAATTCCTGAGAATAAAAAATAGGCGGCGAATCTTACTTCTTTCTGCAGAAAACTTCGACGAACTCACCTGGCCTTGGTGATTGTGTAGTAGGATTAAAAGCGCGAATACCAAAAGGTTTTAGCCCAGAGTCCGGCCAAACGTCTTTACACCGCAGCTTTCCAGTGGTGTTGTCGGTAGAATGGATCCCATTCGATGACCAGTCCGTCCAAAATAACTTTTTCTCGTATAATGTGATAGCAAAAAGATGCCCTAATGCACATTGTTCTGGGGATTTGAATATTTTTTCGCGATTTGAGCCATCGTAGTTTGCCTTAGCTATGTAACGCAACCTTGCATCTGTCCAAAATATTTTCTTGTTTTTGTAGTCTAATGTCAGCCCATTTGGCCATTGAATATTTTGTTGTATTATTACTTGGCGATTTGAGCCGTCCATTTCTGCTCGCTCGACTTTCGGTTCTGTACCCCAGTCTGTCCAAAACATGTAACTGAAAGACACAATGTACTAGAGTGAATGCCCTGATAATGAACCCTATATTACGAACTCCCGGCGTAACGAATCACATTCTTCGTCCAAGTTACAGTAAAATGTAAAGAACAGACCTCCCCCCCCCCTCACACACACACGCACAAAAATGGAACAATGATTATCATTATTGTGACACAATGGGGACCTTAAGATCCGAAGACGGCTTGTCTGTACATTTCTTTGCTGTCACTGCACGACTATGACTTGGAAATGCCTAATTTCACGTTTTGAAGAGGAAGTACAGAAGCTACGAAGAACTGATTTCCTCCCTCTTTCTGGACTTGGATATGGTTCTTAGTAATTCAGCTTTAGGAGGTTTTGCCTACGTTTGACAAAGTTAGTGACTTGGAGTAATCGCGATGAAGGTTGAAAGAACGAGAATTCACTTTTTCAGCGACGTTTTCGCTGCCGTCGCCGTCCTCCGAGTTTGAAGTTCCCTAATAAAACTCTGATATACAACAAATACCTTTTTTATAAAAAATGACGATTTTTTCCGATTTGTTACTTTTTACGATTAGTCATCCCAAGAAGATCCACAATACAATTCGACGCCATAAGAAAGAATAAAATGATCACTAAAGGAAACCACTGAGATCTTTTAAAAAATTCTCTGCACTAATTTTTTTAAGGAAATGTATGAAGATCGGTCTGGAGAATTTGTTTTTGGATACTGGGGCTTAAAGGCACCACAACTTTGATCGGTGGCCCAAGTAAATGGCTACAAGTCAGGGGCACCCAGTGGATCTGTTCCTCAAAATTTCTGTTCTTCAGGCACATTTTTGCTGACTGGGAGATGTAGAAGAAATAATAGTCCTTTGAAGGAAAGTGTTGCTGGGAAAAAGATAATTCAGGATGTCAGAGGGGATTTGAAGTCTAGAATAGCTGCTACGGGTTACTTGTATGGGTTACTTACCACTCAAGATCTGAGTTGTGCCCTATGAAACTTCCCAGTAAGTCAGGTTGCAGGTTGTAAGGTTGCTGGCTGGTAACTCTTCCATCAGCCTTGCTGGGAGTGAGGAACAGATAATTTTTTTTCCAGCAATCTCCCAAGATGCTTAAAATAGTCTCAGAAAACTTTATTCACGCTTTGTTGTTGTTGTTAGGTCTTTTTCTCAAAATTTCCCGTTGGGTGCCCCTGACAAGTTTTGATGAAATATCCAATAACTGTACGTGATCAATCTTCATGTTTAAATAAACTTACCCAGAAAGTGGATCAACAGCTATCGCTCTGGGTTTATCAACGTCTGTCCAAACGAGAACTTTACGATAAGACCCATCAAAGTTGGCAACTTCTATTTTCGATTTTCCTTCCCCAATATTCTCAGTCCAATACAATTTTCTTGCTACCCAGTCTACAGCGATTCCCTCAGGCCCTTGTAAACCAAATGCTATCACATCTTCGACCCTCTTGTCATCTCCTTTGATCTGAATTTGTTGGATCTTGTTGGAGACTTTATCAGTCCAAAATATTACTCCCTCAGCATAGTGGAAATCTACTGCAATGACTTGCTTAAGACCTTCAACGATGGAGCTTTCGTTCCGTTTTTGAATGTTTACAAATCTAATGGCATCTCTGCGGCTGTATAAAAGCCATGGAGCTGTAGAGAAAAAAGCCTCAGTAGGTAATTACAACGAGAACGAGAAAACTCAATATTTTTCATCCAAAATAGTTCGCCGTTTCCTATTGGTTCCAATTCCTCGGCTAATTCTTCATAACCAGCTGGCGCATACCGTATTCGGAAGATGTAGGTAATATACCATCGACTCGATGAAATTAACAGTTATTCGATTCGGGTTTCGTATGGTGTGAAAAATTATCCAGATAGTTAATTGAGGGCCGGGGTGTATAACAGCCTCCGAAATTGATATGAAAATACTTTTCCTTCTCATAAAAGTAAACTCATTCTCACAAGAAATGTTTCGCACTTAGCCTCGTTTTGAAAGTGAGGAGGTTTGAAACTCGGAAATGGTCTATTGCAATTTTGCGTCTCTTGCACCACTTTTAGGCCTCAATACGTCCACGGCGCAGGCCTAGATATAACCCAAGAAAATGGCACGCACCGTACTCACGCGCTCATTAAAAGGGATTGAGGCTTACTATAGGCAAATCTTTGCTGACGTCATTGTTTACAATTTTCCTCATTAGCATACGAGTTAACTCATAAAAGCCGTGGCCGTAAATATGAGCTAAATGCAAAAGTTGAAAGAGCTGATTAAGTTGAGCAATTTGTGCAATTTTCAGCTCTTTGTAAGCAATATTGAGGGAAATATCAGCCATCAAAAACTGCGAAATTGCTGGGAGCCATACATTCTCTGTTAAATTTCCAGCTTTTAGACGAGAATTTCCCCGAAACCAAAATTCAGAGATAACTGAAACTGATATGCCCTTTCAGTATTCAGAGTTTATATTTTATTAGCTTCATCAGAAAGTGATAAGCATCTGTTAATGAGGCAAAAAGTGTAAACAAAGATTCGCCTGTAGAAGTCGGGGTAACTAGGGCAAGCCTTCGGTGACTTGAGGAATGAAATACATCTCAATGATGATAATGTTACCTGCGGTATCACATGTCTTGGTATCATAAAGTAAAAAGAGGCCTGGCGGACAGTGACAGGAATAACCATCCGGGTAAGAGTCTTTTGGAGCCAATAAACAGACGTGGCTACAGCTTGTGGATCCTGCTTTGGGCTGGCATGGATTTCCGCCTGGGTAAAATAAATAAATAAATAAATAAATAAATAAATAAAATAAATAAATAAATAACTATTAAGAGGAAGCACTTCTACAAAGTGGTTCTTCATCTACCTGATTTCTGATCGAATTGGAATTCGGAAATGTTGGTTTTTGAGGAGAAGGGAGCGCCGGAGTACCCGGAGAAAAACCTGTCGGGGCAAAAAAAAACCAACATCAAACTCAACCCGTACATTGCGCCGACGCCGGAATTTGCTTGGACCGAGGCCGCATTGTTGGGAAGCCAGTGCTCGATCCTTGATCCTCTTAAACTACAAATGCGTGAACCTCCTTCTATAAAGACACGATCACAAATTCTCATTAGAATGATCATATACACCATAGGATTTCATTCACGGTCTAAAACGTTAGAACCACAATAGACAGCACGGCAGGAAAGTACTACTCAGTAGCTTTTATTTGGATGATCACACTTAAGGATTTCATCCACAGACTCAAAAGTTAGGTCCACCGTGTACAGCGTCACTAACAGTACCTCAGGAAAGTAAAATAAAACGGAATGCAAGGCTGGCAATACAGCAAAAGGCTGATTTATTTGAGGTCAATATTTCGGCTAATAAAATTAGCCTTCCTCAAGGCTACAGCTACACTGAAAGGGAATACTATAACGGCTAAAAAGTACTGCTAGGAAAGTACTGCTCGGTAGCTTCCATTCAAATGGACAGACTACAGGATTTCCATCCACTTACTAAAAAGTTAGAACCATCTTGTACAGCGTAATAAATAACTACCAAAAGAAAGCACTGCTCAGTAGCTTTCATTTAAATGGTCACACTTTAGGATTTCATCCATAGACTCAAAAGTTAGTCAAAAGAGTAACTGGTACAGTGTAATAAACAGAACCTCAGGAATGTACTCGCTGCTCAGCAGCTTTCACCTAAATGATCACACTTAAGGATTTTCATCCATAGACTCTAAAGTTAGAACCTCCTTGTAGAGTGTAATAAACGGTAACACAGGAAAGTATTACCACCTAGCTTCTATTCAAAAAGTCACACTATAGGATTTCATCGACAGATTGTAAATGTGCTTCAAATGACATCGGGAATAAGAGGGTTACCCGTTTATATGAGAAAGGACAGCTCGGTTAGCCGGGCTGCCCCGCTTTACTGGGCTGGCCCGGCCCCTGCTTGTTTTCCTCTTGAGAGTGTCGATGTGTTTATATAAGAAGAAGGACTGACCCCGCGGCTTCCAGCCTCCTTCTCATATAAATACAACGACTATTTCAAGGGGACACGGTTAGCCGGTTAGCCGGGCTGCCCCGCTTTACTGGGCTGGCCCGGCCCATGCTTTTTTTCCTCTTGAAAGTGTCGATGTGTTTATATAAGAAGAAGGACTGACCCCGCGGCTTCCAGCCTCCTTCTCATATAAATACAACGACTATTTCAAGGAGACACGGTTAGCCGGTTAGCCGGTTAGCCGGGCTGCCCCGCTTTGTTGGGCTGGCCCGGCCCATGCTTTTTTTCCTCTTGAAAGTGTCGATGTGTTTATATAAGAAGAAGGACTGACCCCGCGGCTTCCAGCCTCCTTCTCATATAAATACAACGACTATTTCAAGGGGACACAAGGCATTAGCCGAGCCACCCCGATAAAGCGGGGCAGCCCGGCTTACCGGGCTATCTTTCTCATAGTGATAATCTCACCTGGTGGTACTGGCTGCCTCAGTCTGTGATACACGGCTATCTCTTTTGGCGCTCGTAACTTGCGACCCATCCTCACCCAGCTATTGCCAGTGGCTTTGTCCATTCTTATCACCCCTCTACCGCGGTTGCGTTTTGCCAGATAGATAGAATCGCCAAAAACAGTTATACCATAAGAGGAACGGACGTACCAGCTACGTATAATAACTTTGCGATCAAAGCCATTTAGATCTGTAGATTCTACGGTACCGAGCCTTGCATCTGTCCACCACAACCTCCCTTCTTTATAGTCTATAGTAATTCCGTTTGGCCATACGATGTCTCGATCGATGAGGACTTTTCGAGTGGACTTGTCCCCATTCATGCCGCACTTTTCAATTTTAGCTGGGGTGCCCCAGTCAGACCAGTACATAAAGCTGCAGGGCAAAAACGGATGTGAATTCAAAGTGCACGAGTGGAGAATTATTTATAATTATAGCACTCAACTCGCGTGGAGAACTTTCAAAAGGGAAAAAGAAAAAGAAATTTCAGGAGCGCAAAGGAGCGAAAATAACGTGCGAGAGAGCGAGGAGGTGCGCGCTCGACGAAGTCTGAACCGCTGCCCTGTATAAGAGTTTTCAGAGACAGGCGTGGAGCGCGAGACACGCAAGAAGGCGAAAAGCGCGTGTCTCGCGATTCACGCGTGTTTTTACTCGCGCCAGGCGAAAATGCAGGAATATTATCCTCTCTTGAAAAAAAAAAAACCCTATTCTGTAGGCCTCCTCGTTCCCAGGACTCTTTCTCCTACTCACTCTCACGTAGCGACGAGAATGAGAGGAGCATGGGAACGAGGTTGCCTCTAACCTACTGATACTCTTTCTTACCCAATTAAAGGATGAACAGCGATGGCTCTTGGCTTACTCAGTCCTGTTGTGATTAAATTCATTCGACGATTACCATGAAAATCTGCTACTCCAATGACATCGGTACCCGGATCAGTCCAATACAGCTTTTTATTGACCCAGTCCACAGCAAGCCCCTCAGGAGAGGAAAGACCATCGTCTAACACCACCTTCACGTTACGGCTGTTATTAACGGGTGCGCGCTGAATTTTCTGGGCGAATTTATCAGTCCAGTAGATAAAACCCGTATCAAAGTCGTAATCTACTCCTACAACACTCCTCTGGTTTGGAATAATTGTTTCGTGGTCAGTCGAGCCAAGCTTGATACGACTTACATCTCTTAAGTTAGCGATTAAAAGGAATCCATTGAGTTCTGATGGAAAAAGAGGAAATATGTCGAATTTTTTTTTCAGAATTAACTAACTTGTTAATTGCGTCAAGTGCTTTCCTGAGAATCATGACCCTATTTCAGACCAAAAATGTGATTTTCGTACTCGTTTTCATACTTGGCCTCTAAGAAATTATTTCATCAATACTTAGATTAGGACAAGACCAAAAAAAATCCATTTCGAATTCGCATATTTCTCTTTCTTTCTACCTCATTCGAGTTCCCTCGAGAACCGAACCCGATTCCAGACCCAAATGGGCAAAGTCTATACCCGTTTTCAGACCAAAACGCCCGGGGGGATACTTTAGGAATTTCTGGGTGGGGATGTGCCGCTGGGACCCTAGAACCCTTAACCTATACCAGAACTACTTCAGCTGAATTTTGCTACCCTATACTAGAGTAAACTCCCCAAATCCCCCCTATCCTAGAGTAGCTGTTTTCCAGAAACTACTGAGGTCACTAGCACGGTCTAGCCAAAACAAAACCTTATACCACAATCCTTAGTCTAGATAAAATCTTCAACCAACTGATCAGTTTCCTAAAAAATGATACCCTATTCTAGACCCAAACGCTCTGATTTATACACCCTATCCTAGAGTAAACTGCTTGAAAACCATACCCTTCACAGCGGCACATACCTATATAGCCCATATATGGCAGTACCCCCGGGCCAAAACCCCATCCATTGGGGCGCCACATACACATATGGCTCATATAAGGGAGTACCCCCAGGGGGGGTGATGTGGCCTGTTTATTCAGGTATTGATTTATCAATTCAGAGTTACACAAAATTCTTCTTCACGAAGGCTTTCGACTTACCATCGTTATCACCACTGTAGCATATCCCTTCTTCGCGTTTCTGAAGTCTGTCGCAGTTTAAAGGTTCCGGCCAGTCGAAGCCAAAGGCTCTCATTTGCTCTTCGCAGCCACTTCTTGCACTGTCGCAAAGCGAACGACATGGTGGTGGAATTGCTGTCTTCAAAACACTGGGGCAGACAGGAAAGTAAAGGGAACAAAGAAACAAGGCGATATCCCGCGAACAACGCAAATTAATCAAAGGAGCGAATTGCTGAAACTCAACCGCAGCAGTTTCTTGGCTTGTATGATTCAGAGTGTTTGGAAATATCGTGGTTCTGTAAAATCGCTGGCATAAAGAAATCTTCAGTGGTTCGCATGTTGGTTGGCCCAGACAGGGCAGTAGCAAAAACAGCCCGAGAACTGCCACATAACGAGGTGACGGAACATATCTCCGAGGAGGAAAAGATTCCATCACATCTGCATTTGTTGCTCGGAAGACCAGCACTTTGCAGAAGTGACCTCTTTTTGATAACATGTCATGAAATAAACCCAGCCGGATGTAATGTCCTGTTTATATACCAGGCGTTAAGCTGCAGGAATGACAATCAAAATATCATCAACTTCTAGCGGAAGAGATTTGATTGGTCACCCTTGATCAGCTAAAAAAGCATAATTTCTGCTTATACCTTGCTTTGTTTTCGAAACGTAACACCAGGGTAGTTTCGAGGATCAGCTAATTGTTGTACTAGTTTATTCGAGCGGTTAAGGGTTGCTGGGTTGACCTTTCGGCGGTACGTATTGATATCCTGATATCCTTAGGGCAGCAGGCAGGCAGCAGGGAATTACGCATTGACTACTTACGTCTACTCCTTTTACGTCTGCACGCATTTGCAAACGTCATTGTAAAAACACTACTTTGGCTTGAATTCCAGTAAACAGGAACAAAATCTTCGCCTTAAGCAATAACAGAAATACTTCAGACTATTAAACGAAACATGAGGGCCGGCTGCGATTTGACTCTTAAAGGCGGGGCACCAAAGGCGGGTGATCATTTTCGACAAAAAAATCTTGCAACTCAGACTTAGAAGGTAAAAAAAAAATCCCTAGTTATTTCATGCCAAACAATAAGGAATTTCAATTTAGTAATAAGCGTGCAAAACGTCCTTTCCAAAATCAAACAACCCTTATCTAGCCCCTTAAAAACAGGCAGCTAGAACAACGCCTTAGATTCTTTATGTAGTAAATGAATACATAAAGGATACGGAAAGGAAATTACCTACTGACAAATAATAAAACTTGAATTCTTCGCAGAGGTTAAGACCGCAGGGTTCAAGAGTCCTTTTGCATTGAGAGGTAGAGAGGCTTCTCTGTTCTTAATGCCATACGGATTGAGTCAAGTTTTGATTTTTTTCTTCAATTACTTTTTTAATTACAAACCGTTTTCTTCCACAAGGACTAATTAGATGTCGTGGTCAAAAGAGACTATCTTCTTAGTGGGTAATTCACCTATATATGTAACTGCGTCGTAGTCACATTACACCTTTAAACTGCCCCTTTTTCAAATTGTTACATCCATTCTTGAAAACTTGCCATGTTTTTTTTCCTTGGACCGATGATACTATGCTCTCTAAGTGCGGAACGTTGATGAAATGAGAAACGCAATGAAGAAATCTTTGCGTCACAGACGTGTGTCGCGCGGGGGTATGACCCGATTTCTGCTCTGTGTTGATTGGTCTATGTTTATAGGGAAATGTTTTTCTGGCAAACAATAAACAAAAAATGGCGGGCGGGGGAAGGAGGAGGGAGGAGTTTTTGGAGAGCGTGACAGCACAACCTGATATAAAGTCAAGATTTGTTAAAATTATACTTATGAAGTTGTACAATTCAGTTTCCTTTGGTTGTTTTCGGAGAAGGAGAGGGCTTGTTGCCAATTGCTCCAATGTTAAACATTCTAACTCTTATGTTTCAAATTGTTTCACCTTTGCGTGGCGCGCGGTTTATATTTCTGATCAAATCTGCTCTGCTCTCATTGGCTTGTTCCAACAGGACAGGAAATAAGAAGATTGTCTCTTCACTGCTCCACGTTCCAAGCCCTCAGTAATCTTGTTGATTTATCACCTCTCCTCTCCTTCAGTTAGGACATTCCACCTTTTTTTTTCTGGACGTCTTGCTTACTTTGAAGCTAAAATTATAACTTTTAAACTCAATGATATGGCCTTCGTGGCATGCTTTAGCCCTGAAATATATATAAGGCTCGTGGCAACCTTCATAAGTTTGAGACAGGAAATAAAAGTACCATATATACTGCCAGGCTAGGACTAGAATGTCGACAAGTGATTGCATTAGAGGCAGTTAAGAAAAGCCTACAGTGCTACAATGGATCGTTCGTGAAGCTGTCTCCTGCAGGCCAATCTTGTTCCCAGAGTTCTTCTCCCTCTTTCAGAGACAGAGAACCCTGGGAACGAGTTTGCTGCATGCCCTGTTTTACTACACAATGGACGAATGTCTGTCACCAACACTGTCACACAAAGAGTAAAAATAGGAGAGACGGGTTTCCGCCACTTTACTTTCAGAACTTAAACCAAGTTTATTGCAGGAAGATTCGTGTCAATGTAGATAAATTTGCTTGTGCTTTCTCTCAATTCCATGCCCACATTTATACAACTAAATGAGAAATTTCTGCAATTTGATTGGCTTAGAGCAGTGGTATTTCAGCTTAATTTAAAATACCTACATGTGAAAATTACAAACCCTTTGAGGGTAGTAGTATAAACAAATAATAGCATAATTTGTGCGTGATATTTGGCATAAGTACCACTGGTGATATTTCAAAATTGTCTCAAATTACGTATAATGATTTCGAAATATCACTCATGGTATTTATGCCAAATATCACTACAAATCATGCTATTACCTATACAAATCCGGTAATGAAATAAAACTAACAGCAACTTCCACAACAGAAAAAGTAAAGATTTACTTATACTGTAGGAGCGAGTCACCTCAGACGTCGTATATTTTTAGATGAGCCGACTCGAATTCCAATTTAAGCCGACCCAAATTAATTTAGGCCGGGTCTATTGATTCAGAAGCCGATCTTTATTCAGTCGAACTAAATTCAAAAGGGGAAAATTACATTAATAATACATTCCAAAAATTTATGCAGTTGGTTCGACTCATGAGAAATTGGGCGTCGGGTACTTGGGTTAATTTTTGCTGGGTATGTGCCGCTGGCCTCTCAGAGCCCCTACCCCATTATTGTCTATTCTGTGGCCAATTATAGAGCCCATCAAAGTCACTTTTGGGCAAATATGTAATTTTCGCAATCCCTACTTAGTCACTTTCTATTTTTATGAATTGACCCTTTTTTTCGATTGAATGGAGAACACTTTACTTCATCTGCAGTACAACATTCTGGTACGTTTGCTAACCGTAAATATGAAGAACTGTCTAAACCCCAAAACTCCGAAAATGTGCGACCCCATTGTAGTAACTCTATTGAAAATGCGACCCCATTATAGTCAATCCAGTCGTGAAAATGCGACCCCCATCCAGCGGCACATCCCCATTAGCCTCTTACAAGGAAGTACAACCCCAGGGGAATCAACGCAGGTCCACAGCCGTTATTCCCGGTTGGGCCAGGCGTGAAGAACGGCTGAGCCAGTCCGCCAGATTCAATTAGCTGTTACGAATTGTTTTAGACGCCGGTACTGAATACGACTCGGCTCAAGTGAAGCACGGCGTCTGAACTGGGCCTTAGTCTCTAAAAAAGAAAGGTTAATTCAGTGGTATGTTCTTGGATACAAGGAAATCCTTCAACCACTTGGCAATATCCTGCTCATTTTGCTTACGCCATTGAATGTTTGCCAACACTTTCTCTTCTGCCTGTTGTTGTGCTTGTGCTCCGGCATCACCGACGTGTTTTAATTCCTTAAAGCTTTTTAGCTAGAAAGAAGAAAGGAATTATCGATTGAGTGCATGAAAAATTCGTCTCAACACTGGCCATTTACACTTAGTCATCATTATAAGCACAACTGACGGTATTGCCGTGTTAACCGGTTCACGTTATTCAAGTCAAAAAGACACCTTTTATTGAAGTAAAATACTAAAAAAATTAATGAGAACATAAGCAGTGTCAAATTGTACATCGATACACTTCACAAAGCCATCAAGCCATCATTCCTCGAACTAAGTCCTTAAGAAATCTAAGAATTTAAAGATGCAGTCGAACCTCGGCCAGTTACAAGAACCCAGCCAACAAAACTGTCAGTAAATCGCAAAAACAATACCACTATTAAGTGGCCACTTGTCTCTTCCCTGTGGTCCTCCTAACCGAGGTTGAACTGTAATTAAATTAACAGTTTAAAAGGTAAAAGTGCTTGTTAACTTACATCCTGAAGTTCGAATTCACTGGCAAACCCGCCTGTCACGCTGAGAATTATAGATCGGATAGTGAAAAATCTTGCACCAAATCTAGGGATTAATAATCATCTGTTAAAAGGGGCCATGTCACGAGGATATTGATGTTTCTAGGTGAAATTAGCTTAACATAGCCCTTTTAAACCCTAACATCAAAATTTGAATTCTCATTTGTTGCCCTCATTCATTTCCCACAGAAGTAGTGGGGAGAAAGTGATAAAATATCAAGGAAATACATCCGTTGTGTGATCATGAACGCAATTCCCATGACCACTCTGTTTTACAAAGCATTGATATTACAAGGAGAAATTTGATGAGATATATGAAGGTTTTACTAGAAATTTTCGCCATGAGACGTTTAAAGATGTAGCGTTTATGTTTTAAAACGATGTAAGAGTTGGGTCAAAGCAGTGTCTATATTACAGTAATACATACTTACTTATACATCAGATGGGCCCAGTTAAGTTTAACAAACTGCCACGCTAACCCACGCCCTAGAGGGTTATGGTCTACCACATACTTTATAACTGTCGAAGTTTCCTGCGGATTCATCTTGGTAGGATCAATGGAATATTGAAGATACCTTCAAAAGAATACATTGAACTTACTTTATAAGACGAGATGAAATATTTGCCTCAGGGATAGCTGATGAGAGATCATAAACTATCTAGAGCGGTTTTCATTTGAGTGTCGAAAAGTAATTGGTTTTGCACTTTCTACACGATGCGATTGGCTTAAAAGATTCGCGCCAACTTTTCATCCAACCAGAAGTAAAACCAAAGCCGATTGTGACGCGCTCGCACGATTTTCCCGCGCTTTGCGTCAGCCACATGTAATTACTTCGAGTTTTGATTGGTTCAATGTATTGTCTGTGTCCTATGTGATTGGCCAGAGTAATTACTTTGGTTTTGGTTTTACGACACTCAAACGAAAACCACTCTATTATACAAATCAATTAACTTTACAAAGATACACTGGGTATCAAAGGGCTTGCAAATTGAAGAATTTGGCCACGACAGTGGCAAAAAAAGTTTTCATGTGCTTTTTAAAAACTGCTAGAAATTTTTGAGGTTCATTCAAAACTACAATCTCTTCTTTTCCGAAGAATACTTCTT